AGCGCCTGGCGCGGTGGTGTCACAGATACGTCACGCTCTCGATCCGAGAACTCAACCTCTCGGCGAACGCACGCAAGTTCAAGATCCTGCAGTCGCAGAGGTGGGTGAACACGGAGCTCGACGTGGCGCGCTACATCAAACTCTTCCCGTCGCAGATGCACGAGGGCGTGCGCAAGTATCCGACGGTGGTACGCGGCGCGCTCAAGGTCAACGGCGTCGGCGTGGGCTTCGACGCGGAGGCGCGCGCCGAAATCATCATGGCGCAGGTGAAGGCGCAGGAGGACAAGCTCAAGGTGCTCGAGCGGCTCACGCCGCTGCTCGGCCGGCAGGCCGCCGAGCTCTACGGCCGCTTCGCGTGCAAGCCGTCGACCACCTTCAACCACCAAGCGCGCGGCAACGAGCCCTCCATCTCGCGCGTGCCGCTCGAGCACGCGGGGGAGATGCAGGCGCACCTCTTCCGCACCGTCACCGCCACCGCCCCCGACGAGATCCGCGACGTGCAGCACGACGCCAACCCCGCCGGCCCGACGGAACGGCGGTGCGAGGAGGCGATGCACCTCTCGCAGCGGCACGGCGGCGCTGGCTGGACGCACCCTCGGCTCGTCGCGCCGGCCGCCTCAACCGGACGCGTGATGGACGTCCTCTCGGAGATGCGACAGGATGAATATGGTCTTGCGACGCTGCCGCCTTTGAGTGGTACCGTCTTAGACATAGGCAGTCATGTCGGAACAACTGCCGTCATGTTGGCAACACTACATCCCAACATCACTGTTCATGCATTTGAGCCAGCCGCGATGAACTTTATTTTTCTGGTATGGAACCTACTTGAGAATGGACTTCTTCACCGCGTCATCCCTCACAACCTAGCCTTGAATTCCAAAGGAGAACCTTTTGTGATTGAGTACGCTCCAGATGACTCAACAAGCACACGAGCTGTGCACATGGGACGGAGCTGGGGTGCGTTGCCAAAGATAACGTAACGAGTGAATGCGAGTACTCGCATAATTATGTAGGTAAACGAAAAAAGTAGCGCACAATTCGTCTACGTACGGCTTAGTGAGTGGTTGGGGTGGCCTCAGGCATCCCCAAGGGAGCCTCTGCGGTGCCACATAAGCAGCTTAGTGATTGTCGAGACTTTAAAGGATTCGTTTGAAGATCTCGCAAACAAGACAGACACTACTATGGTCACCAGTAAACGAAAATTCGACTTTGAGGGATAATATCTCAAAAGACTGGGTGAGAGCATAGCATTATTATTGCATATTAGGCCGCATAAGGTCAGACTTGACCCCACAAGCATCAAGAACCCGATGCTCCGGCTCGACTGTGCCGGCACACTGCCTCCTCGCGCCAGCTGCTCGCAGGCCGTCGCGGCCCGTGGTGCACCAGAGAGAGAGGTCGACGCGTTGCCCCCGCTGGCGACCCCGCGCGGCTCAGGCCGGCCAGAAGGTGTGTGGTGACGGCACCGTGGCAGGAGTGCAGAGATGAGCTCGCCGAACGCGAGCAGCAGATGGCCAAAGTGTGCCAGCGCGAGAGCCTCGCGAGCGGGCGCAGAAGGAGCTCGCCGTGACACGATGCCGGGCGGTGGTGGTGCTCTGGCGACTGTGCACAGTGGGCAAAGTCAGGCTGCAACAGGGCAGCACGATGGTAGTGCCCTGCTGCAGCCTGGCCTGACATGCACAGGGCGAACAGAGACACTACTATCGTCTGGCGCTCGTCACCGAATCTGGGCGAACTTCGACCGCCGCCACAGCTGGCCACGAGCACGCAGCGACAAAATGCTGACTGTACGGAAGTTGAGGCTGGTCGAGAGGAAGAGGCTGCCGTGCGAGTCGGCAGCTGGTCGGCTCGGGCGGACTGACTGCGGCGTCTTTTTTCGGCTTCTTCATTCATAGTAGCGTATACGCTACTTTCGTTTACCCACATTGTGCGAGTACCCTGAACCGTTTTCTTGGCGCGTGCGAGATCGATGAAGTGGCATTTGTGAAGCTTGACTGCGAGGGATGCGAGTACGAGATCGTGCCTGCCAATGACAAATTCTTCATAGATCGCGTGATGCATATGCGCGGAGAGAGAGATTTTTAGCAATACCAAACAACTCTAACACTCACACGTAATTTGTTATGCGCGGTGAGGTGCATGCATGGCAGATGCGCTCTCGCGGTGCTGTGCTCGACGAACCTCTTGTGCGATCCACGGAGAGACTGCTTTGTCGCAGATACCGGTTGTTCGGAGACAAGTTGCCGAAGCACATGCCTTCATGCACACACTAGCACACACGCCACGTACACGTTGATGTGGCTGAACATGGTGTCTTCTCTCTGCCGACTACGACACCAGACGTTCACATCGCAGCGTACACACAGTTGTATCATGTATGCGTGTATATGTCACCAAAGTGTGTGAGGATGCCCCCGGCCCACGAGAGGTTTTGTTTGTCGAGGGGACAGTGTCACCAAAGACGGACGGATGGTGCTTAGTGGGGGTGAGGCAGGTGGTTTGGCCGTGCACCGTGGTGGGGAGCCCGGAGAGGCGCTGATGAGATGAAGTACCGGTACCAGCGATCGCCATCTCGCTGGCCTCGGCTCCGCTCAAGGCCTCCCGACCGCGCGTCGAACTCATCGACGCGGGCTCTCTCGGCTACGGGACCGGCCCCAGCTTCGGCTGAGGGCTGACAAGCTGCCGAGCCCAAAATCACTGACACTTGCGTGTGTGTGGTGTGTGTGAGAGTCGTGATTTTCCTTGTTGGTTTGTAAAAATCTTGTTGGTTTTCAAAAATCTCTCTGATGATGTGTGAGGGACACGCAGTGAACTTCAAGGACAAGGCCTATTAACCCCACCAGCGCCCCAGCCGTCACCTACCACAAAATAGAAGAGAATAGAAGACAAGGCGCACAAAGCTGCCGAGCCCAAATCACTGAAAGTCGTGATTTCTTGTTGGTTTTCAAAAATATCTCTCAAAATAGAGCACTGGACACGCGAAGCGTTAAGAGAGACAGAGATTTTCGTCGTTTTGGGTGTCCGTCCCACTGAAAACTCTAACACTCACACGCCATTTGGGGCCTGGAGCCCCTGCAGAGCCCCCCTGCAGACTGATGTTTATGGTGGTTTAAAGTTTGCGGGGGGGGGGGGGGGGGGGCAGCTTTGGGCGGTCGGCCCTGTTCACGCGCGCGCGAGACGTGCAGACAGGGTTGCCAGGTGAGAGCGAATGGCGCGGTTCACGCCTCGCACAACAGAGAGAGAGATGCGCTCTGGCCTCTGCATGGTCCATGGACCATGGTGGGACATAAAAGAGAGCGAGTACTTGGGCGAGTAGGCCGTGCGGTCAACGCTGCCGCGCGCGACTTTGCGCGCGAGGCGGCGCAGCTTGAGAACGGCGGTTCAGAGATTTTTGAAAACCAACAAGAAAATCACGCTGGCACAGTGATTTCTAGTTAACACCTTTTCTTTATATAGCCCCGCATCCTCCGGCTCGAGCTCGCGCGATCGGGATGCGGCGTCCAAGATAAAGTAAAACGCGCAGTCCCTCGCCGATTCTCGGTCAGACCGCCACGTTTTTCTTTCCGCTCTCGCCGAGGCAAGCGGCGAAAGGCGCGCTGGCAGCGGCCGTTGCGCCCAGCCAGCACCTCTTTCGAGACTCCTGTTTCCTCCCGGTGCCGAGAGTATCCGGCTCACCACCATCCGTCGGTCCCGCCGTGCTCCTCAGGCGGCCGAACGTGCAGCATCGACCGGTTGCGATGTTCCATCCGCCAGATCCTCGCGAGCAGGTCGTCCGCCCTCACATCCCTCTGCACGCTCAGCGGCTGGGCTGGCCGGCCCTCCCACCATTCATCATTCTGCCATCGGCGGGCGGCGATGCCGGCACGCACTCGGACCTCACCCGGGACCTGCCGTCGCACTGCCCAGGTCAACAAATGGAAGAAGGAGATGCGATCTGAGTCTCGGAAGCTCGACAGACAGATCCTGAGTGCGCCGCCACCGCGCCCCTGCCGCAGCCTGCCCGTCTCTCTCTCCGCCCCTCCCCCGCAGCCGCCAAGGCGAGGCCCGAACTCCTTGCGTCCCGCGCGTCGCGCTGCAGAGATTCAGCGCGAGGAGGAGAAGATCAAGCGGTCGGTCAAGGAGGCGGCGAAGCGGGGGGACACGGCGTCGTGCAAAACGTACGCGAAGGAGATTGTGCGGTCGCGGAAGGCGGTCACCCGGCTACACACCAGCAAGGCGCAGATGAATTCGGTGGTGATGCAGATGCAGAACCAGATGAGCCAGGCAAAGGTCATGGGCACTCTCACCAAGAGCGCGGACATCATGAAGGCGA